GATATATATATATATATATATGTGTGTGTGTGTGTGTGTTTGTGTGTGTGTGTGTGTGTGTGTGTGTGTGTATAACGTATTGAGACAATTAAAGTTGCACACTTAAAATGCATTAATGTTGTTGCATTAAAAAATTAATAATAAAATAAAATAGCAAGTTATTTCACATAAGATGTGTGTTGGTTTTTAAATGACCAAAAAACAATAAATTTACAGTCTACAGCCACTAAAATTATTTTGGGTCCAGTTTTTGGAATTGTAAAATGGCTTATAAAAGTACATTTAGCTCTGAGAAAATGTCTAATCATTTGTTTACAGGTGCCATTAGGTTTCATTTGGCCATTTATTTTTAATTAATTAAAATACACACATTTTAAGTGTGGCTGAAGTGTCCAAATACTTTGTGTGAAAGGTGTATGCTCCCATAATAAGTGGTGGGTTTACTGTGTCATTTTTTATAGTACCACAATAAGTTGGATAGAGTTCTTGTAGTGGGCAAGGATCTGATGGAACTAAAGCAACAGGAATCTGTTTGGTTTGGAACATGCTGAGAATTAGGGCTGTGACATCCCAACCGTTTCTCTTCATCTCAAGAAACAAGGCCAGAGCACACTTCTCAACAGGGCATCTGAAGCGGGAACAGTTTGTTTTCACTGTTCCTTTTTACTTCTAGGCCTTGGGATCAGAAAGAAGCTTTACTTTCACTGGAAATCATGCATGAGAACCTGACAGATACAATGACTACACAGTTTGTCTGCTTCCCATAGAAGAAAAAAACTTGTATATATAAATTATAGATGATCTAAAATAGAATATGTTTTATATTATAATACCTGTTTTTATATATAACAGTATATGTCATATATAATCATATATGTGACCCTGGACCACAAAACCAGTCATAAGGGTCCATTTCTCGAAATTAAGATTTCTACATCATCTGAAAGCTGAATAAATAAGCTTTAAATTGATGTATGGTTTGTTAGGATAGGACAATATTTGGCCGAGATACAACTATTTGAAAATCTGGAATCTGAGGGTGCAAAAAAATAAAAATACTGAGAAAATCACCTTTAAACTTATCCAAATGAAGTTCTTAGCAATGCATATTACTAATCAAAAATTAAGTTTTGATATATTTACGGTAAGAAAATACAAAATAACTTCATGGAACATGATCTTTACTTAATATCCTAATGATTTTTGGCATAAAAGAAAAATCAATAATTTTGACCCATACAATGTTTTTTTTGGCTATTGCTAAAAATATACCCAAGCGACTTAAGACTGGTTTTGTGGTTCAGGGTCACATATAATAATTATATATTGTTATAGTTATTAGAAATAATAATTGCTAATTACTTTATTAAAATATAAAACTTTATTAAAATAATTATAGATCATTAAAAATTATATTATCCAATTTAACAGTATTACTGTGTGTCTATATATAATGTATAATTATTAATAATTAATTTATAAAAAATATATATATATTTCAGATTACTTCATTTTTTAAATCTCTTTGGCTCGACTTTTTTTTATCTCACATACCGCTAGACGATAATGATCAGATTGAGTCTAGTCTAATTCACATAATAATGCACGAGCTGGTGCAGACAGTCCTGTACAATGATGGTCTCAGGTGCCAAGCGATGAATTGTTTTCTGCTGTTGTACTGATCTCACCACGGCCCTTCATGGCCTCTGAGTGAATCATTGGTGCTAGACATAACCTAAATACAATAACGAGACTCAGTGCCCATCTTGAAAGTTATGGTTAAGGGTGCCACTGAAATGTCTGTGGTGTTAGCACAGCTTGTGGCCACACTGAGGGAATTTGTTTTTTCACCAAACATAGCTGAGATCTGGCCGTTTGGAGGGTGAGAGCGTAGGTTCTGCTGTTAGCTGATGACACCTCCTGTCCAGCCGCTCGGGTTGCCAGTACACTTGGCCCATCATGAAATCACTTGGAAGGAAGGCATGTTGCATGAGAGGCTATTTATTCACATTTTTGTGTTAGATTGAAAAGTGATGCATAATTAAATGCATGACAAATCGTAGTATTTGCTAATGTTATTTTTCAATATACAACACCAAATAACCCTCTCCTTCTATTCTGTTCTGTTAAAACACCCCCAAAAGGTGATGACACAACATTTGAGTTCAGTCTGATCATAAAATGTACTATTATCAAAAGGAGATTCAGCAAAGCCACCCACTGACCACATGTATGAAAGGCCTGGCTGGCTGAAGTGTGAATCAGGGATCAGTGTTTATGTAAAGGGTTTTCTGTGCCCTGAAGGTTCCCCAAAGCTCTACACAAATATCTCCCAGATGGGCTAAAGACGTGCCAGTATAATCATGGGACAGTGAAAATTGGCTCACTTTCTCTCACTCACTCGCTGAGCTAAGTTTATAAGTATGAATGTGAGTGTCAAAAGAGTATAATGCATGAGTACAATCAAATTCCGGTAATAAAAACTATGGAATAACACAAAAGAAATGTTGTAAAGTTACCATAAAATGTGTGAATATACTCTGTGTGTGTGTGTGTGTGTGTGTGTGTGTGTGTACATATATATATATATATATATACATACATATATAAAACTTAAATAAAAATGAATAAAAGCTATATAGACATGACAAAAATGACACACGCTTAGTCTTATTCTATATACAGTGGAGAAAAACTGAAATATCTGAATACTTAGGACCATGTGATATTTGAGTTTTTCTTTTTTAATAAATCTGCAAAGATGTCAACAATTCTGTGTTTTTCTGTCAATATGGGGTGCTGTGTGTACATTAATGAGGAAAAAAAATTAACTTAAATGATTTTAGCAAATGGCTGCAATATAACAAAGAGTGAAAAATTTAAGGGGGTCTGAATACTTTCCGTACCCACTGTATATATATATATATATATACTAAAACCATAAAAAACAGTTTGGTTACTTGAAATTACAATAAATGTTAAAAAAATCTAAAAATGAAATAAGAAACTAAAAAAATTTATAAATTCTAAATGAATAAAAAACTATATAGAAATATTTAAAAACAACAAAATCTAATTAAAATGACAAAAACACAAAACAAAATTGCTAAAACTAAATAAAACTAACATGAAAGCAGAAAATATCAAAATATTAAGCAGCACTGTTTTCAGCATTGATAAAGAAATCAGTAAATGTTTGTTGAGCATAAATCTGCATAATAATATTTCCCAATATTCATTTTATTACTTTACTTCTGATCAAATAAATGTAGCCTTGGTGAGCTCAAAAACATAACAAACCTTATTGACCCCAAACTATTTTTGCACACTTTTGGTGACGATTCTCTATAAGATCTTTGTGTTTGGAGCGCAGTGTATCTTGTGTGTGTGTGTGTGTGTGTGTGTGTGGTGCAGTGAGGTAATTGCATTGCAGCTACTGCCCGTCTGCGTGACATGTTTATTACTGGCAAGAAACACATGCTGTCAATGATCACTTATTCTTAGGGCTTCAGTTATCTCAACATTACGCCCCATTAGTATTCTCTGGAAACCAAT